CCTCGGTGCCACTCTTACCCCACAGCCAATCAGCTACCAAGTGTCAGTTCTACTGCCTAAATAGCGAATTTCTCACCTCTCTCAGACCCACTGCCACCCCCTTGTTTCAGACCAGACTAACGACTGATTTCTCTTTCATTAAAATCATCTAACTCAGCTCCCTAACAGGGCAACCGGAGTGATTGTCCTGAAATGCAAATCTAATCGTGCTGCTTTCCTGCTAAAATCACCCCCACGGTTCCCCATTGCTCCGAACATCCAAATTCCTGTTCCCGGCCCCTGAACCCTTTCATCCTTTGGCTTTGCCTGTCTCCAGACGACTCTCTGACCCTCCCTGCCTCACACCTTACAGTTCAGCATTGCTAAACGGCTTTTAGTTCTCTGCACTCACCGTTGTTTCTTCCCTGCTCTTTCCTCAAGATACCCTCTCAACATGAATGGCTTTCCTGACCCTTGCCTGCCTAACTCCTACTCGCCCTACAGTAAAACGGTCTCCTGCTCTACTCAACCCCACTAAAACCATGTAAGGTGTCCCTACCCAGGGCGCCCACAATACCCTGCACCTGGCACATTTTACATTATTTTTTCATGTTCGTCTCCCCAGCCAGATTGACCCTTACTTAACGCAGGGTCTCTGTTTTTGTTCTCTAACTGCTTAGCCTATACCAAGTGCTCAAAATGTATTGAATGAAGACTCAATTTCCAAGTGCAGACATTATAATCAATCTGTCATATGGGACATGTTACAATGTGCCAGATGCTGTCAAGCGAGCCACCTTCCCTCCTTTGTTTCTTAACAATTCCGAGATCACTATCGTCAATTCCACTTACTTAATGGGGTTTAGAGAGAGGTGAAGGGACTTGTCCAGGCCACACAGGCAGAAAAGGGTGGAGCCTTGTTTGTTCTAGTCAGAGTCCTAAGTCCAAAGTCAAGCCTGTCAATCAGCATTGTGTAGATTGCTAGTGCTGGCTCCATCTGTTCTCTCCCTTCCCCTTGGTAATAGAACCACAATTTTTTCTGGGGTGACAGTGTGCCCCATTAAAAGATTACAGTTTAGCTAGATGTGCAATGTGACTCAGTCCTATAGGATTTCCAGAGGTCTCCGTCAAATGAAATGTGGGCCAAGTGACTAGAGTTGTAGCAGCCATGTTGGGCCATGTGGTGTCCTTGAGACTGGAAGCCAGGATTGAAAATGGCAGCGCAGGAAGCTAGGAGCCTGGGTTCCTGATAACACTGTGGACCCTATCAGTCATGGTCTGGCCACCTCCAGACTTAATATGAAAGGAAAATAAACTCTTGTTAAGCCACAGTGGTAGCTCTGTTACTATGCAGCCAAACCTGGTACGAATCTCAACCCTCTCCATCCCCAGGGGGCCAACTCAGAGAAGCAGCAGCCAGCATGGGTGATATAAAGTGTTTCTTTATTTGAACGTCATTCCACCTGCACTGAAGCTCAAATCCAGCAGCAGCAGAAGGGGTCAGGACCAAAATAAATGTTACCAAACTGGACGATGAACAGCGAGGACACATTCAGACAGAACTTACTAATGGGGTGTAGACAACACCAAGCTATCCTAATGACACACAGCACAGGCCCCTGAGGTCTGCTGGTCAGAGCTCTGGGGAGGACTGTCCCCCTCCTTCCCTTCTCGGGCAACTCCAGGCCCACCCAAAGGCTAGCCCTGAGCCAGGCAGGGACCTGCGTAAGTTTCTTGTGCTGGGAAGGTCCCAGCTTCTCCAAAGAGAGGGTTCCCCTGTCTCAATTACATACTGGAAGTTGGAGAAGGCGGATTCCCCTGTGCCCCAGCAGGAATCTCAAGGAGGCCAAGGAATTTCCCTACAGCCTCATCTAAAAGCTCTCAGCTTAGCTAGTCCAGGCCTGGAAAGGACGAATCCTACCCACGGTCCTCACCCCCTCAGAAAAACAATGTTTTCCTTAATGGGTGTTGGTTCCCAAACAGGAAAGTTTTCACATCTTAGAGACCCAGAAGGACTTGACCAACCAGCGCTCTCAACCACCTCTACGTTGTAGCTGCTTCGGCCTCTCCTGCAAGTCCCCAGACCAGAGCAGAAACAACCTGCTAGTGCCAGACCCCTCTGATCCAGTCACCACTCGGGGAGGAGCGCCTCCGTGGGGCACTCAAAGATCAGCTTCTTTCAAGAACCAAGAGTCCCAGAGGCCATGCTGAGGTGGCGACAGGTGACCACTGCATCCGTCTCCTCCCAAGGGCAAAAGCCAAACTGCCTGCTTTGGCTAGGGCAAACCGCAAACCTGCCCTCGTCCACGATGGCTTCCTTGCCCCCAGAAAGCCATCTGAGCCACAGGGTGGTGGCTCTCCAGCCTCATGTGGGGCCCCTACCTGAACTGAAGCATTGGTTTCTCGCTCTGCTCCTGCCTCTGCCGAAGCCTTGGGGACAAGGCTCTGGTTTGGTGCCCACTCCAGCCTCCTTTCCTTCCCCGTGTTGCCCTGGCACTCCTGCAGCCCGCCCAACCCTGCTTTTCCAGCCCCACGCTCCTGCGTGCTTCTCTGGGCTGCCCCTTCCTTGGCAAAGGCACCAACTGGCTGGGTGCCTGGGGACAGGGAGGCACTCAGGACCCCCTCAAGGGGATTAACCTCTCTCTCCCCTCCCACTAACCCCCACTCCAGTGGCGCCGTGGCCCCAGAGGGTGCGCAGCAGCCCGGGCGTCTGAGGGGAGGTTCCCACCTCCCCCCAGCACAGGGATCTGGCACACCCCCCTCCCCGCCGCAGCAGGGCACATACAGCAGCCGCTCCAGTCCCTCAGCGTGCTGCCTCCTCTATCCTCCTCTGCCCCAAGCTGTGCCCCTGCACCCCAGTCTGCCGTCCACCGCTCACCCCTCCATTTGCCTCCTCCCCTGTCCCTATTCCTTCTTCGTCTTCCTCGTCAGCCACCTTCCCCCTTCCACCCCAGGCTCTCTGCACCAGGGTCCCCTTTTCCACTACTCTCTGCCTCTCTCCACGCCTTCCCTCCCCTCTCTCGTTCTCACTTTCTCCTACCTCGGTCTTCTCCCCCTTCCCAACCACTGGCTCCCTCCCACCCCCCATCCCCCCGCCACAGCCTCCCAACACTGGGCTTTGGTTTGGATCTTTGAGGAACTCACTTCCGCCCCCCGCTGCCTCCCATGAGGCTCCCCTGACCCTCCCCTTCAGCATGGGCCCCTGGCGTACAGCCCCTTCCTGCAGGTAGAACGCTGGGGGAGGAGAGAGGGGTGCTGGGCGGGGACCGGAGCACCAGGGGAAAGGTGTTTGCTCAAGACGAGGGAGTCAAGAGGGTGGAGGGTCAGGGCTTGGTGAGGTCCGGGTTTCAGGAATCCTACCAGGACCCAGCATCTGATTCCAGTTAGGGTCCAGATGGGAGTCTCGTGCAGAGGATTTCTAGGGTCTGTCTTGGAAACCCTCTCAGGTCCAAGTCCTATGGAAATGAACACAAGACTGGCAAATACACGGCACTCACTGCTTTTCTCCCCTCCTTTGGCTGAGGCCCACATAGGAAATAATCACAAGCTTCCCCAGTGAACCCACAGAGGCCTCCCGCTCTGGCTACACGGTGGACCAGTACTCCCCCCCAGTACTCGAGGACAGAAGTAGGCACACGAGAGGAAGCCAACCTGCTGCCTGCACTGGGGGCTGAAAGGGGCTCTCCATGCCCCAGGCCACACGGCTCGGCCTCCAGGTCCACCGGGCAATGAGGGGAGTTTGGAAACACCTGGAGTCTCCCTCATTTGCCCCTGGACAAGGGGGAAGGAGATGCCCCCACAGTGGGAGGGGAGGGAGAGAGAAGACTCCTCTTCTGCTCCCCGCCCCACACATACACACACATACACGCTCACGCGCACACGCACACACACACTCACACACACACTCATGCCTCAGCTCCAAGCACTGCCCATTGGGCTGCAGACCCTGGGCATATCGCAAGGCGAGAGGTGGGCAAGGAGGAGGAAGTGGAGGTGGGGATAGGGTTACAAGGCCTGGGGATGGGGACAGGGGGTACCCTGTTTAGAGGTGACCTGCAAGTTCAAGTTATGCAGAAAAAGTATCAAAGAGGCAAGACAGTCTCTGCCCTTGGCAGATGCCCGGGTTGGGGGCATGAGAAGGGGCAGAGGGGGGATGCATCCCCTAATTCCCCACTCTTGGGCCCCCCTCCCGAACCTCCAGCCCTGACAACAGGGCCAAGAAGTCTGTGCTGTACAAAACAGGCCAGGGTCAAGGGTCCAGTCACTGGTGAGACATCCCAGCAGGGAGAAGGCCAGGCGAGCTCCAGGTTGAGCCTCTTCCAGCCCCAGCTGCCATGGTCAGACGCCACCAAGACAGGAGTCAGAGCGCCTCCTCCTACTGCCTCCTGAGCCCGTCTGTCCTCAGGCTCTGGGCTGCCCAGGGCCTCTGTCAGCGGCTGACAGGGAGGCCCTGTGCTTTCTCCCTCGGTGCAGCTCAGACTCCTTTGGGAGAGGTGAAAACAGGCTGGCGCGGGCGGCAGAGAGGCCCCAAGGAGGCTGGTGGCGCCTGGAGCTCTGTGATGATGTGATGGAACCATCATCAGAGGGGGGGAAACAGGAAAGAGTCCAGTCCACCCTGGGCCAGTGTCTTGAATAAGTTTCTGCAGGAGGCAGGGACCAGAGGAGGCAAGGATGCAGCCAGGCAGGAGCCCTCCAGACTGACGGGGCCTGGGGAACCGGAGCCGCAGTGCCTCTTCCCCTGGAGACTCAGCAGGGGCCCCGGGCCAGGCTAGAGAGGGAGGGAGAAGCCCAAGGGCCCAGCGCTCCAGCTCCCTCAGGTCAGTTGAGGGAGGAGCAGAATCGGGCCCTCCCCCACGCTGCATCCCAGCCCCAACCTCTTCAAAGCCGGGAGCTACAGGCAGGTAGCAGGTGAGAAGTCAGTCCTGGATGGGGTCTTCCCTTGGAGCTTGAATGAAGGGATGAGAGGGCAGGCAACGGGACAAGCTGAGGACAGGTCAATTCCTGGGCTGTGATCCTGGCCCTCAGGGTCCCTGTGAGTGAGCGACGGGACAGGGGAGGACTCCCCATCCGGAGACATCACCCCCTGGCCGCAACACGGAGCTTACCGTAGAGCCCACAAAATCTATGAGAGAGAGAGAGAATTGGAGAAAGTCAGAGACTACCAGAGCACTGGGTCTCCCCCCGACCACTCCTCAGGGCAGAGCTGGGCGGGGGAGTGAGCTTCAGAGAGTGTGAAATCCAGCCAGGCCTCTGGTTAGCTGGATGGTCCTGAGTAGGCCATTCAACCCTTCGGAGCCTCAATTTCCTCATCTGTACAACGGGCATAATAGCCTACTTCACAGGGTGATTCCAAGGAGTGAAAAAAACATAAATAATTCCAGCTAAGGACTTTTCACAATGTCTAGTGCATAGTAAATTCTGGAAATGATAGCAATTTATTTTTGTTTTTATTTTTGTCCTGGAGGTCTGGCTCAGAACTGAACTGTGAAGCTCACTCATCTTGAGCTCCCAATGAGGGATGGAGCACCACCTCCCCTCCCCACTCCCGCCCGACGCTGTGGAAAGAAAAACTTGGGCTCCTTCGCATCACTTTAAACACCGAGCTTAGGCACTTTGGGGAGGAAGGAGAGGACGCTGGGTGGGCCCACCTCACAACAGTCACATCCCCAAACCCCTTCTTCAGAAAGGCCACATGGTTCTTAGTCATGCACTTCTAGAAGCTGCCACCAGAGGGCAAGCCCTGACCTCACACCAAGACCACAGAAACCACCAGATGTCAGGGTTTCCAGGGACAGGAGCTTCAGAGAAAGACAGGTTGGCAGCCCAACAGCCTAGGAGGGCCCTGAGAAAGGAAGCAGGCAGCAGGGAAGAGCTTAGCCTTTCAACTTGGACCGGGGTTCAAATCCTGGCTGCACCGCTTCAGTGACCTTGGGCAAGTTACTGGACCTTCGCAGACTTCACCTTTCTCATTTGTAAAATGGTGTTGGTGATGCCTGCCTGGTGGGGAGTCTTGAGGAGTGACAGCCTCTAGTGAGTATTCACCAAGTGCCCCTTAATAGACATAATCTTTCTTCCTCATCCAACAGCCCGGTGAGCTGGTACTATTTCCACCACCCTCATTTGAGGAAGTACAGGAAACTAAGTCTCAAGGAGGTGCCGTCCCCAGTCTGCTTCCGACACAGTCAGCCTCCAGTCCAAGGGTCCACCACAAGACTAAACCACCTCCTGCCAGATGAGATAATAACCCTCACTGCCATTATCCCCATTTTATAGATGAGACTCAAGAGAAGAATATAATTAATGGAAAGTGCTAAATATAGACCCAGCAACATGCTAATAGCTCAAGGCAGGGTGTGACTAGGAAAACCACTACTCCTATTTCTCATGGCAGGGAACGCACACCCAGACAGACGGCTGTCTGTCCACTGCTGCCATGCCGTGCCTCCCGGTGCTCCGGGGATAGGGTGGGCCCCTGGCTCAGAAGACCAAGCCTCCTTTGGAGAGCGATCTGGCACTATCATTACAATTTGAAGTGCGCAATTCCATTTCTGGAAAAACACCAAGAAAACACTGTGTATAAGGAGGCACAGACAAAGATGTCCAGCATAGCATTGTCAGTGATAGTAAAATCCTGGACACCTCCCTAACAGTCCCTAAAAGGAAAATAGTTAAATAGTTACAGTTCCTCCATCTGACGTAATGCTAGGCACTGCATAAAAAAGGTTCTCCATAAAAGGATAAAGAAAGATTTTTAAGACACGCTCTAGGGTTGGGGACAAAAAGCGATCTTACAACGGATGCGTTTAGGACGACACCTATCCTGTGTTATATGAGCATATAACACTACTGTATATTTTTTAAAAGGTCATATATTGTATGTAGATGCATAGATAAACATCTGATAACTGGTTAGCCTGGAGTCTCTGGCCTCGTGTGTAAATTTTTCTTCAATAGATTTCAACTTCACTTGATATATACAAAAGTTGATATGTAATATACTAGGTATAAAGCATACTGTAACAAACACCTGTGTGGGCTCACCACGCAAGAACACCACCAATATTTTGTACATGCTTACACATCCCCCATCTCAAGCTCTTGGCCTCCCCTCTTCTATCCCAACCACAGATAAGCATCATCCTATCTTCTGTATTTATTGTTTCTTTACTTTAAAAAAAATGCAGTTCCACCATAAATATATTTATGATTAAACCATACACTAGTTAGTGTCTCTTGGTTTTTGGTTGAGCTCCATAAAAATATCACTGTTAAATTCTGGAACTTGATTTTTCCCCCCTGTCTCAATATTATGTCCCTAGGATGTACCCGTTCTGTTACTTGCAACTGCAGTGCATGCATTTTCAGTTATGCACTAGTCCATGATGTGAATGTATCACCACTTATTTACCCATCCTCCTGTCAATGGCCATTTAGGTTGTTTTTAGTGGTTTGCTATTTGGAAACTACTGCCACATTTCTCATGGGTTTCTACTCAGAGTTGGGTTTGCTGGGGCCCAGGCATGCAACTGTTTGGATTTGAGGAATAACGTCAAATTGCTTTCAAGGTGGTGGGACTGTCTGCACCTTTTCCAGTTTTTGCTTCATCTCTAGGACTTGGTGACACCTGGAGGCCCCGCCCCCGCCCCACCCGCGGCGGGCCGCCCGGAAGCCCACTCGCCTTTGTTCTCCTGCTTGAGTTCCTCCTGCAGCAGGTCTGTTTGCCGGTTGCCCAGCACGAAGGCGAGGAAGGAGAGGATGAGGGCGTTGAGGATGCCGATGATGGCCAGGATGTACGCCCAGCGCACCGAACAGTCCCCCAGGGAGTACTTCCCGGTCTTGGCCCCGCACATGTCCCGGATCGTCTCGGCGTCCCAGCCGTCGGGAAAGATCATGCAGCCCAGCACGAGGCACAGAGCTGAGGGGGCGCGAGGCCGGGCGCACCGCCATGGTCAGGGAGGAAGAGAGAAGGGGTTGAGTACTCCCCAGAGCCCAGAGGACCACCGCAGCCCCCCTCGGCTGGGCCCCCGAGGGCCGCACCCTCCCGTTCGGCCAAGAGCCTGTTAACCACTTCCGTGGGCTCCAGAAACTCTAGGGTCTGGGACGGCCTCCTGCCTCGGGGAGCAGAACCTTTCCAGGACCCTATAATACCCCCATCAAATCAACTCCTCCAGGAGGGCTTCCTGGAAATACAAGGAAATAGCAACCCACGGGCACCTCCCTCGCCTCCCGTTAGCATCCTGACCATGCTTACTCCCTCCCATCCTCATGGTTCTTCATTTCTTTTTGTCCCCCATTCAACAAATATTTATTCAGCGCCATTTCCTTTTCTCCGAGACGCCGGGCATACGTTCTCGTTCACGCAGTCGAGCACTGTGCTCAAAGGACAGACTGGGAAAGTTCTTTCCCCTACTCAGTGTACGACCTTGGGGATGCCCCTTTTTATGTTGGAAATCACAGTACTACCTCAGGGGGTGGTGGTGAAGACTGAGGGAAGTAATGCGTGTAAACACTCAGCCCAGTGCCTGGCATCTCCTCACTGAAGGCCCCTTGGGTGCCAGCCACTAGATTAGGCGGGAGGCGGGTGCATTACTTGGACTTCAGCCTCACAGAGCTTGTAGTTAGTGGGGGAAAGGTCATTAGAGCAAAGAGGCTCAAATCCTGACCCGGCTTTTTCCTAGATGTAGGACCTCAAGCCAGTTCTTTCCCCATTGAGCCTCAGTTTTCTCATCTGTAAAGGGGGAATAATGATGGTATTCAAGTGTAAAGATTACAGGAGGCAGCAAATGTAAATGCTTGACATTGTAAATCCCAGGTAAATGTTAAATGTTATTATCAAAACTAGTCACAATGATACCAATAATAGTCACACAAATAAGGAAATAATTGGGGAGGGGGGAGCTTCGTTTAAGATGGTGGGGGGGGGAGAAAGGGCGAGGCCAAGAATTCTATTGAAATAGGCCCCTGCTGGTTCCCTCCTAGGTATTCACTCCATGTTTAGTGACCCACCTCTGCCAATCCCGACCCAGACCCACGTGGTATGGGTAGGCTCTTCTCAATGCCCAGCCTCGTAGGTGGGACCGAAGTCTGAGCCAATCAGCACATGCCCCACACAGCCAATCAGAGCCGACCGAGTTTAGTAAGCGACAGGGACAGTGACCTTCCACTTCTGCCTTGCGGTGAGCAGCCAGCCCCGTGACTTGCGAGTTGCGCTTGATGTTTTCCTCTTAGTGCCTGACAGTCCCACCAGCAATGAGGTCACTGTGTCTGAGACCCGAAGGTTCCACACCAGGGCCGTGGGGTGCTTCACCTGGGTTTCAGATGACAGTGATGACAAAGGGGGTGGTGGCCAGTTCTGCCCACTGTCCATGAGGCCCATCTAGTTCCCAGGGTGGGGAGGATGCCCTCGGCTTTGTCAGGTCTCTCCCTCACCTACTGTTCAAAGTGCTCCCCAGTCCCCAGACTCCCATCTGCCAGTGCACTGGGGCCCCTCGCTCTAAGGTTTGGCCTCCTGTGGCCTCCCCTGCCCTCCTGTGACACGACAGTGTCCCCACACCCCTAGGTTGTGCTCCTCAAACTGACGCAGGGCTCCCCCACAGCTCTGTGCTCTCTCTCTCTCTCTCTTTCTCTCTCTCTCTCTCTCTCTCTCTCTCACACACACACACACACACACACACACACACACACACACACACAGGGCTTCCTCGCTTCCCCAGTGCTTGCCTCCTCCAAGATGATGCCCAGCTAGAGCACAGCGAGTCGCTTATGGGCTGGGAAAAGAGTTCCTGGCAAAGGCGCGGGCAAATTCAGGAAGCCCTGGGGTGAGAATGATCTTGAGGAGCTCAAGAATCCGACAAGTTTGAAGATGCCCTTTAGACACCAAAATGGAGAGGGAAGCTCAGGGGGAAATCAGTGCTGGAGATGTAAATTTGAGAGCTGTGGGCAGGTAACTCCCTGGGGCTGGAGTTAGGGAAACCGAAGGAAACAGGACTGAGCCCTGCGGCGCCCCGTAGGAGGAGCCTCGGGAGAAGGTCGACCCGTCCATCTCCCCACAGATCCCTGACATTTTGCAATGCCCTCCAGGCCCCGGAGACGGGAGGAGGGTCAAACGCCCGGAAAGGGGGAAGAGGAGAGAAGGAGCGCCCTGGGTGTCCGAGGGCTCTGTTCCAGGTGGCGCGCTCCCGCCTTCCCAGCGAGAGGCTGGGGTAAGGAAAAGAGCCTGAGAAAGGGCCAAAGCCAGCCAGCCTCCCCGCCTCCCCGCCTCCCCTCCCCGCGTGCCGCGTTTCCTCTCGCTCGCGGAGCATCCCCGTTTCCATGGAGACTGCGCCCGCATCCCGAGCTCCCAGCAGCGCGGCCAGGCTCGGGAGGGCGGGCCTCTCCGCTCCGCAGCCCCCGCTCAGCCTTCACGGAGTTTCCTTCCCGTGGCCCTGCGCCCGCGCGTTCTCGCTCTCCCCGCTCACGTGCCTCTCCCCAGTCGCGTGCCTCCCCATTCCTTCCTCCGGCCTTTTTATCTTTCGTGTTCTTCATCTTTATCTTCACAGCCCTACTCTCTCTCGGGCTTGTCTCAGTCGCGCTCAGGGGTCGGCCTCGACCCTCCTCCCCTTGTCTAGTTAGATCTCTCCGCATTTAACATTCGTTCAACATCCCTCCTCTTCTCTCTTCCTTTTCTCGCTTCTCTTCCTTCTCCGGATCTAGCCCCCCGCCCTTGCCTCTCCCCGGCTCTCCCTTCCTACATTGCACATGTAAATCCTGAATGCCAGTTATGTGCGGGGCACTGTGCAGGGTGCTGGGGACACTGGAGGCGTGGTCCCCAGGAGAAGAGGCGTGTGGGGAGGAATAAAATCAAGTCAGCACACAAACAGAATCGTTATGCATGTCAAGGAGCGCTTGCAAGGAAGCAGACTAGGGGTTGAGACCCAGAAGAGCCGGGTGTTGGGAGAGGGTGGGGGTGGGGCCTTTCCCTCCTCTGCTCTGCAGCCATGTAGCTGTAGGCTACGGGGCCCCAGAGGCTGCTCGGCGAATGGGAAACACCCAGAAGTCAAGCAAATGGAAAAAAAAGCCTATCAGATGGTTTCCCTGGACCTGGGGGAAGAGAGGAAAAGATCACTACTAGAGACAGCCTAGGACAAGAAGTGACCAAGAGGTTCAACCATCAGGAGATGGAATGACTGCCGGCAAGGCAGCTTTTTCAGCATCCCCATGTCCTGGATGAGGAAACTGAGGCTGAGGTCTTTGGACTCTGAGTTCAGGTCTCTCTTGGAAGACACAGACACAGGTGCAGGGTGCCATGTGGAGTAGGGCTTCTCAAGGGAAGCATTTTTGACACTTGGCCTTAGAATTCTTTATGATGGGGGGCTGTCCTGTGCCCTTGTGGGAGGTTGAGTATCATCCCTCGCCTCTAGCCGCCAGATGCCAGTGGCACCACCACCCCCAGTCATAATAAAGAACATCTCCAGACATTGCCCAATGTCCTCTGGGACGGTAAATTTTCCCTGGTTGAGAACCATTGGTCTAGGCGAAGGGGCCCTTGGGTGGGACATCTCTATCCATCACCCTACAGTCCACTGACTGAAAGGGTTGTGACAAAATTAATAATATGAATATTCAGGGCGCCTGGGTGGCTCAGTTGGTTAAGCGACTGCCTTCGGCTCAGGTCATGATCCTGGAGTCCTGGGATCGAGTCCCGCATCGGGCTCCCTGCTCAGCGGGGAGTCTGCTTCTCCCTCTGACCCTCTCCCCTCTTGTGCTCGCTATCTCTCATTCTCTCTCTCAAATAAATAAATAAAATCTTTAAAATAAAAAAAAATGATATGAATATTCATAATGTGATAATAATGTTCACAAACAGTATTATGTGCTTAACTACACGCCAGGGTGCAGAGCTCCTGACATCATGATCTTGTTTAATGCTGTAATGCATCTATACATTGGGAGAAGACATCAACCTCATTTTACAGATGAGAAAACAGGCTCAGAGGAACCAAGTATCATATCCCATGTCACAGAGCTAGTCAGTGGTGGGATCTGTATTTAAACGCAGACAGGTCTTTACTTAACATTTTTCTTTTAATAGACTCACTTTTTAACTTAGAGGCATTTACTTAAAAAGTAAGCTTTATATCACTATCATAGAAAAGGAAACCAGGATCATTTGCCACAAATAGAAGGAAACTATAAATATAATGAAACCAAAACAATGTTCTTAGATTCTAGCTGGATACTTTTGCCTGCCAAATGCTCTGAGCTCTCTCTCTCTCTGTTTAAGAGACTTAATAGTGTGAGAGGAGTTAAAGATGTACTAGCCCCAAAATGAGACTTTCTCCCTGGAGCCATGAGACACTGGCCACTGTGCATGGCCTCAACAGGAAGCGGAACTCCCATTCTTCACTGGGCAGCTTTAGGCAAAGTCAGTTTACCTCTCTGGGCCTCGGTTTCTTCATCTGTAAAATGGGGGTCATGGGACGCCTGGGTGGCTCAGTCGGTTGGGCGTCTGCCTTCAGCTCAGGTCATGATCCCAGTGCCCTGGGATCGAGTCCCGCATTGGGGTCCTTGCTCAGCAGGGAGCTTGCTTCTCCCTCTGCCTGCAGCTCCCCCTGCTTGTGCCCTTGCTCACTCTCTCTCGCTCACTCTCTCTCACCCACACTCTCTCTAACAAATAAATAAATAAAATCTTAAAAAAATAAAATAAAATAAAATAAAATGGGGGTCGTGACATCCTACTCATTTCATAATGCTTTTGTGAGAATCAGTTGGTGAGAAGAGGTACACAAATTATCACTGGTGAAGCGGGGATGGGTCATGGCAACTCTTGGCAAAGTGGAAAAAAATCTTGGACAAAAGAAATAAGCCTTTTCCCAGATAGTCAAGAACGGTTAACAGCAACTGCCTGGGGAAGGCGATAAGCTTAATTTTTACACA